GCGATCTAACCCAAAAAACCTTTAATATGGACATTATAATAAACCACGCTTACAAGCTAAACCATTCAGATGATTATTCAAAGTTCATGGCAGAGTTTTTTAATATAAAACACTCGTTTTCTAGAAGCACCCCGCTCAACACGATTGTCATTAAATATATTTATAAAACAAAGTCAGTACAGTATAAACTTGCACATTTTATTCCAAATCAAGCTCGAGATCACCAATTTTTGATATTTCAGGCTCTATGTCGCTTTATAATCCTCTAAACTTGCAGCAGTTTAGAGGACATTGGGGGGTGGTATGTACATGTTGTTAGTTTGCACATTTACAATGGCCTGTAAACTGTGATCAATTTATCGACTATGAATATAAGTATAAAATGTTGCAATGCTGATGGAGATATTCTAAGAGGTGCTTTATAGCGTGGTGACTTGATTTTATGGATATTTTTAAGGACTCTTGTTGATGGTGTGTCTAAACAACGAAGGTTATTTGTTATATTCGATCAATTAAAACGGTTACAATTGCTCTGGATACCCATCTGGATGGTATAGTTTGTAAGTGTTGTTTATTATTATAACCATCATCAGTCTATAGCAGTGTGTATTTACACTGATGTGTATGTACAGTGATGTGTGTGTTTTTATTTACCACGTGTTCTCACGGTAAGTGCATTGAATGTGGAGGGGTTACCAGCCCATCGCAACAGTCCGGAGACCTCGTGGGCCTCTGTGATGTCTATGAGCCTTCCCTCTCGGACATTGCTCACATTGACCACAGCTTTACCGCCCTGCACCGCTGATGAGGTAGGGGGTTGTTTTTACAGAACTTTACTCGTGGGCAGGGGAATGCCAAACAACAGGGAGTGTGATAATTGGTTCTTTACCCTTCTATCTGGCAACAAAACTGACACCTTTTTGCAAGGAGTCATGTTTGCATAGACCGCAATACCTGCAGTCATAAATACAAACAAAAGACATAACTCTGATAATGTGCACTGTCCTTGAAGTTGATTGGTCCACACCCGAGACAGCTTTCCTTCGAGCCTAGTCTCATATGGGTTGGACCAGATGACGCCAAAAGGCGCCTTTTGGCGTCATCTGGTCCAACCCATATGAGACTAGGCTCGAAGGAAAGCTGTCTCGGGTGTGGACCAATCAACTTCAAGGACAGTGCACATTATCAGAGTTATGTCTTTTGTTTGTATTTATGACTGCAGGTATTGCGGTCTATGCAAACATGACTCCTTGCAAAAAGGTGTCAGTTTTGTTGCCAGATAGAAGGGTAAAGAACCAATTATCATATTTTTACTGGCAAATGAGGTCCCCATAGTGTAGAAACAGGGAGTGTGGCTCTTCCTTTGAACAAAATAATGAAGGGGCCAACCGTGGCGGTGAGCTGTAGGAAGCTGTATGCCCCACGCGTGGAGTGGTGATTGTTCCTGCCTGCACTGAAGGTGAACATCAGTGTCGGGATGCGGGCAAGGCCGATTAGTCATATGCCTTTCATAATATCCAATATTAGAACCATACTGCTCGAATGAATACATTTTGTATGCATATATATATACGAACTGCGGGCTGTGGGATTTGAATTGCATTATAATCACTCGTATCACATTGCGGTCGTTATTAGATTCACACAATCCACTGCTGGATCTGCCCTCTCAATGGATTCGAGAGTAGGATGGCGACAGCGCCGCAGCTGGATGCAGTCCCAGATCGCTCTCACAGTTTATCAACCGTCACCACACCTCGTACCTTACCCACGTCCTTCTTCACTCACCACCGCTCTTCTTACTTTCATCTTCCATCATATAATTTATTTTATTATTTTCATTATTACTTTGGCGTCGCCCGAGTTTTGGGTGGCGGCAGATCCCTGCACCAAACCCGGCCGGCCTGCGTGTTCACTGCACACGCCCCGCGGCGCTACAACAGCTGACAAATGCCGGCTGCGGCAGTGTCACACAACCCGCCTAAACAGCCGCATCGCACAGAAGATTGTATAATAACAAATAGTATAAAAGTGTAATGTTTAATATAATGTATAAGGTAATATATAGTATCATAATTGTATAGTGAATATACAGCAGTATGGTATACAGTAGGGTGGGTAGAATAATACATAGTGTAATATTATAATGTATAGTCTAAGGTATAGGGTGGTGTATAGTTATACAGCATATTATTTAATGTTGGGTTTGTCTATGGCAGTATATAGTACGGGGTAGACTCGTGTGATGTAAGAGAAAAAAGTGTAGCTGGAGGCATATTCTGTTTTTTGCGACGTAAAATTGTAATGTATGAATTTCTGTTAGTAGCTCAGCTTATTGGAGTATATTTAGTATACTAATGATACTGATGTAGTTCATATTTTAGTTTTTTACGTGGTGGTTTAGTTACTGCAGCTCCATACTATTAACATTCCTTCCCTTTATGAATGCTAACCCTACTCCCTCCCTTTGATGCTGCTAATCCTGCATAATGCACGGGCATAATATGACTTTGAAACCCCCCGCCCACCTCCTACGCATTCCACAAGTAGTGACTAATCACCTAATTGCATTTCAACATAATACGTATGTACATCTCACTGCATCCAAATCCTTTGTTCTCGCCTTGGCCTATCATGGACTTTGTCTTCAATTGTAATTTTTACATTAACAATCCGCATATCTAGCAACATAATACGTATGTACATCTCACTGCATAATTGTACACTTCCGTTTGAATAAGGATGTGCATCTCCATGCATTATTCCGTGCTTCGAGTTAATTTGCTAATATTCACCCCCCAATGTCCTCTAAACTGCTGCAAGTTTAGAGGATTATAAAGCGACATACAGTCTGAAATATAAAAATTGGTGATCTCGAGCTTGATTGGAATAAGATGTGCAAGTTTATACTGTACTGACTTTGTTTTATAAATATATTTAATGACAATCGTGTTGAGCGGGGTGCTTCTAGAAAACGAGTGTTTTATATTATAATTTCTGCCATGAACTTTGAATGCTCATCTGAATGGTTTAGCTTGTAAGCTTGGTTTATTATCATGTCCATATTAAAGTTTTTTTGGGTTCGATCGCTTAAATATATAAATGTGTCGTTGAAACCCGCCACACCCGACAAAGCGAACTAGTAAGGATTGTCACGTAAACAGAACAAGCAAATGTTTCACGAGTACAGCACACCGGTGTGTTGGAGAGCCAAGCCACAACATTTACAATCTGAGTACGACGTTTCGCCTGTAATTAAAACTAGCTTCATCAGTCGACAATCAGATTTGGGAAGTCTCACTGTTTCGTTGCTTATATTGAAGCATAGATGTGTTGACCACGCAGCTGCGCTCTATTGAAGTATGCTGCCCTTTGTCGGCATGCATTTATTTAATGTTTTATTTTAAAGACACATTTATATACTTCAGCGATCTAACCTAACAACCTCTATTATGGATGATATTGGCCCCGAAATCCTACGTGTTAAACTCGTGTGTATGTGTTTAATATTTTGGATGTTTTTAAAATAATTATTGCATTGAATTTGGAGAGGTTACCAGCGCCTCGCACCCGTCCAGAGACCTCGTGGGTATCTGTGGTGGCTACGCGCCTTCCCTCCAGGACATTGCTCACATCCACCGCAGCGTTACCGTCCGGCACCGCGGATTAGGTAGCGGATTCTTTTTTTCCGAACTCTGCTCGTGGCTGGGTAATTCCAAACAACAGGAGGTCGTGAAAAAATACTACTGTCTGTATGTACATGGATCTGTACTTCTGTGTATGTCCACTCGTGTGTTTATTTACACTCGTTGATGTGGATATGTACATGCGTGAATGTGTGTGTATAGGTATGTAAATCATTTGTTCGCACATTTGTTCGTGTAGTAGAACGCAATCCCTTTGTACGTACACTGCTGTGTATGTACACTCGTGTGTGTATGCGCACTTGTATGCATGTGCACCCGTGTGTGTATGTATGAGGCAGTGTGTATGCACATTCGTGTATGTTTCTACAGCGCTGTGTATGTCCACTCGTGTGTGGGTGTGTGTACATGGGGGTGTATATGTGTACTCGTGTATGATTATGTACTGGAACAAATGAGTTTTAATATTGTGTCGTACAAAGAATGTAGGGGCAACGTGGTAGGAATGAGACTCCCCGCTCGTGGTGCTCAATGAATGAAAACAGCGCCACTGAGCAGACAGAGCCCCGCCCCTACAGCTCGTGCGTGTGACGTCATGAGTGTGACGTCATGAGTGTGACCAGCGGACAGCCACGATGCTGCCAGGTGAGGGTCAACTTGTGTGCTGGAGATGCTTCGCCTGAAACTCGCCTCCACACGTGTTCGCTATGAAGATTGTAGTAATAAGCGACGATCAGTCATCTTTAACCTATCAGGTCTTTATTGTTCTGAAGTAAATTAACGTTAAAAAGCGTAGAAACACATGCACACTCGTGTGTGAATGCACACCGCTGTATATACAGTCGTGTTTGGATGCACACTCGTGTGTGTATGTCTACTCGTCCGTGTTTTTTAAAGGAAACATGGTAGCAATAACGTACGATCAGTCATCTTTAAAAACAAATCAGGTCTTTATTAATCTGCAAGAAAACTCACGTTAATACTCGTATCGACATCTTTATTAATACGCATGCTCAAACAGGAAGGAACTAGGCAAATTATTTCCCAATAGGAATTCAACAGTTCAAAGATATTCTTAAAATCAAACGCTACCAATTTAAGCAGTAACTTGCCAATTTTTAAAACCTGATACCACATATAGATTCTCAAAGCAAACGGCAATATATATATATTTGATCTCAAATTGTATAAAGCGGTATGATTAACTTTGAATATCGACATGCGGTAAAAGGTTAACCAATTGATATCCTACCACTTTAATAGTTTAGCCTGGCAATTATTCAATAATAAAGGATTTTGGTAAACATTCAAACTTTTTTACATTTTGTAAAATCGCCTGAAGCTGGTTGTAATCACCAGCAAAACATCATACTCAAATTGTAAATGTTGTGGGTTTACTCTCCAACACACTGGTAAGCTTAAGTAGTCACTAATTGGCACATTTTGTTTCCGCGACAAACCTTACTAATTGGCTGTCAGGTGGTGGTGTGTTAACACATTTATATTTACGCGATCTAACCCAATACACCTTTATGGATATTGGCCACGAAAGCTGATGTGTTAAACCAAATTAATTATACTGTTGTTGGTAAATAGAAAATGTTAGTTGTTTACATTTCCTCAGATACAAGCAGCACGAGACTGACCTGGAGGAGATTTTAGATCCAAATTCACTTTTAATTTCCTCATTTTTTGTTTCACCAGTAATATGGGATGTATTTTGTGAATTTTGGGTTTTCCACCTGCAATTAGAGGCTTGGAAATGTTTACCCTCCACCTCTACAGCATGCCCATGAATTTGTCTATTTTTCTGTGACACAAATGTTCGTTCATCAGGATATAGCTGCTTTGGAACACAGTGCAAGGTAACATTATTAAGCTGTTTTTGTGATAGTGGTTTTTGAGGTGTTTCATACATTTTTGCTTCACCTTTTAGTTCAGAACTAAATTTCAGTGGGTGACTTAATATTTGGCTTTCACATGCATGCTTTTTCGCCTTTTCCTCCGCTTTTTCTTTGGCCTTGCGTGCCTCTTCCTCGGCGATCATTTTCCCAGTGAGTGCTTGCAGCTCCAGCTCACTTGCAGACTGCGTGTGCTGGTGGGAGTGTTCGGGAACGGCGTTACTGCTGCCGTTTGACACATCTGGGAGCCAAATGCCACCTTGATCCACATCCACAGACTGACTTGGCACGGAGATCAAACAGAACACAGTTTCTCCCACAGCTCCTCGCTGATGCATGCCGGTCCGGACTCCAAGCAGGCTACGTGGCATCTGACCACCACTTGCTTCATGTGTCTTGTCACCCTGAAGAATACCCTCCTTTTTATCTGTATGCAACACAGATCTATGTTCACCTGCTGTTTCTTGTATGTGGCCCTTTCTTGAGTGAAATGCATGATCAGCACTTGTTGAGGTACTGTCCGGATATTTTAACTGCATGTACGTTATGTCATCTGAATGCATTTTATGCTTGTTGATTTCATGGTTTGACTGCGAATTTCTCCAAAAATATGAATCCTGATTTAGTACAGGTAACACAAGTGATGGAGGTGGTATTTGCTTTGAGTACAACAATTGTTTGTCTAGCCTTCTTTTACATGAATGTAGTTTACAGAATTGTTGTCATTTGTAGACTTCCTCACACTGTGACCATTGTCTTGATTTTGGCGCTCAGTTTCCCAGTGTGCCTTGGGGACAATTCGCACCCATGGGTCTGTGAATGGAATGTATTCAACACGAGCTGTTCTAAGTTTTTGTTTGCTTTCACCAGTAGAGTCAATGCTGTTTTCATTGCTTGCATGTTGATTTTGACGAGATGTATTCTCTTTATATTGAGGAATGTAATCTGGTGGTTTGATGTATGTGGGCAGCTGTACATTTTGATATTTCATTTGTGATTCAGGAGGCATAAATCTGTCTGGGGAAATTCTGCTGATGACTTGTATTGCCCATTTTCATGTGTACTCGTATGACAACACACGTTTTTCAATTGAACTTGTGTTGTTGGTCCCTTGTAGCAATCTTTGCTTCTCATTTGGTACATCTCGTATGTTGGCGGTGGAGGCCTGAATGTTTGAGGTTTTTCAATCTTCTCTGTTGGTAGGGGAGTTGCTTCAAAGTATTGTTTTCCTGTGTACAATATTGCATGTGCATCTGATGTTGCCTGGAGGGAAGTGCTTCCTTTGCCTGGATTCACCAACATGTCCTTGCTGTCCTGACCACACTGACTTGAGGAGTAATACATCCCTGACATGTCCTGGTAGTCACTACAGCAATGGCTTGATACATATTTGGAATTCCCTTTTTCTCTGCTATTCCTGTGCATATTTTTACTTTGATCGGTCAATAACGCGTAGTCTGGATTTATTTTACTTTGTTGCAGCTGTGTAGTCTGTGGTGCAGAGTTCTGAGATAATTCCAGGGTCGGAGGTTCAGCCTTGTATGGTGGAGGCTGTGGGTAGGTGCTGGGGCGTGGGATTGTGTCTGCATTAGCTGGGTAGCCGTGCAATCCAGAGTATTCCGAGGGAAGAGTCGAGTCACGAGACACTGCAGGGTACGGTGGGGGGGTTGCCTCGCGAGACACTGCAGTCTGGTTGAAAGGGCCATGCTGCACTGTGTTGTGTGATGGGGCTTGATCTCGTAACCCTGCAAGGTAGGCAGGCGGAGGGACGTCAACATGAGGCGGTTGGTGGATTGCGTAGTCCAGCAGCACGCTGAAATCCTGCCCACGGCGCCGCCAGTAACTCACGCTTTCATCGGATCCCTCCAATAATGGAAGCTGGTTTTCAAAGTTCCTGCAGAACAAAATAAATATTGTGACCAAATTGCATCAACACTAGAACGCTTTTAGCATTTGTAACTTTCTGCTTTTTCTTTTCAATGAGCCATTGCTTAAATCCTGGGTCAGGGGTAGACATCAATCATGTGCGAGTGTGTGTTTTGTAGAGCATGCTGTTTTGCATTCATTTTTTATACATGTTTTTGAAACATTTAGGACATCTTAAAGAGTTTAACTATTGGAACAATATTTTAAGTGCTGGTGACTAATTAATCATATTCAAAAGGATTACAGTGTCTTTGTGAACGCCTTATACAGTGTATACAGCATCGCATCCCCTTAAGAATTTTACAACACTGTCTTTTAAGCAGTTTCTCTGCCAATTCGTAATCGGATGCAGACCATTCATTGAAAAACGACGGGCCATTTCAAATCAAGACATGCCCTTTGGCTCAGTCTTTGTATTATATTTGCCATGTCTGTTACAAGGGTGACAACATTTTATTGGTATTTCATGGGTTTGGAAGAAACTTTCAGTATGTGGGGTGGGGGCATGAACATCAGCATAATAATCCCCAAAACGGAAGCCAAGACCGTGAAGTTGATGTTGCCTTGGTGAAATCCAAACTTCAACATACCATGTCTGAGCTCATATGTCTTCAGGAGTACATCTTTCACATAGCCGGTGTACCACCCTGTTGCCAGTTGATTGTGATTACTTTCTACTCACCCACATAAATGATGAGAGTGTAAAACCAAACCGTGGCCGAATGAGTTGTGGCGTAAAGTTAGCACAGCAGTGGAAAACAAACAAACAAATAAAACTGGGAACTGCAGTTGTTCCACTGAGTAACTATCCATGGCATAAATGATGCATGCAGCACTTTAAAACGAGACAAAAATAAAATAATGTGCCTGGTACGGCTGCCAGGATGCAACCACAGCAAGCTTACCAGGGATTCTCATTTCGGTCAATTATATTGTATTTTAATTGCACCAACAGTGGGCATTCATATAATCTGCCCACAGGTGTATATCTAGGCATGTAACTGCATCGATTAACATTTGAAAATGATTCTTGTGATCAGAGTACTTGCAGAGAATTGTGCACGTAAGAATTAATAGTTTAAAATGTGTGTATATTGTTTGACTGGTCAGCATAAATCCTGCAGCCTATTGATGTGTTAGATAGGGGTGTTCAAGCATCACGTAAAGGTATCTATGTGGTGTTTGGAAATCTTAACTCCTGGTTTATTGCCAGAAAGGGTGAAACCTATTCTATTTAAGTATTAATAGTCGACGTAATGCACTCTTGTCACATTCTATGCATAAGCCAGTGTTTTTTTTATAGGCATACAGTAAGTACTGTATAAGCAGCATATGCATACATATACATTTGTGTAATCTGTTCGTTTCTCAAAGGAAATTATGTTACAGCTGTTCAAACAGAGTACAAGCACATTTCATTTCAGGCAAATGACACAGCAGTCAAAGAAAGGAAATGATGTCTAAAAATGCTGAACTTTTTTGACGGTGCGTTTTTCTCCAGCGAGCTCCTCACCTTATGGTCACAGGGGGGCTTTGGGGCTGCATTTGCCCCTCTTCATAGTTCGCCTTTTCACTTACGAGCTCTGCCCTTTCCCTGGAGGGCTCGGCCCTTGCGGGGTGCTCTTGTAGTGGCAGGCTGGAGTGACGTGTGGCGCGGGGAGCGGGCGGTGCGTCGTGCCACACATCCTGGCCAGGAAACCCCTGCTCCAGCCCTGACCGGGGCGGCTCCATCCGGAGTGGAGGCTGTGTGCTGCTGCTGCTGCCGGATGTCGGCCTCCTGCCCGACCTGAAGCCATGGGAAGCCAGCAGGTCGGCAACGCTGTACATATTCTTCAGTAGCCGGCGGTTTTGTTCAAGGCCACTGTCCTTCACTGCGCGCACACTCCCACTCTCCGCTTCCTGCTGAACGGTTATTCAGGATGAGAGTGCCTGATTTGCAACAACAACAAAACATATTTAATTATTCTTGTAATTGTTTTCGGAATAAAGTACTTCACGAAAATGAATGTACCACAACAAGAAATGGAGTTGAAAATATATTTCATAGTCTAAATACAAAGTAATTTAAACACGTGGCATAATACCAGCAAGCTAAGCAATTACATGAATCGGGATCATCTCTACATTGTCTAAATGCCCTCTAAGTGAAACAAGTATGGAAATTAATGTAATGGAAATGGATGATAAAGACACGTGCCTTTTTTATCCCCACTCTTATCTGTGCCATCTCGTACCGCTTAAAAGTATATTTTTCAAGAGTTAAAGAAACATTGTATTCAAAGATCATTTTAAAACTCTTGTTTTTATCAAACTTAACTCCTCCTTTGCCATTATCTTAGCTCTACGCACATTTCATGGTGCACATTTCTCTGTAAATACTTTTTGACAGCAATGTGAATTTAAATGAAAGGTTCATCTGGAGAAAGGTTCACTCTGGCAAGCGTTCCCATTGTGCAAACACATGGACATTCCACACTGCCGATTTTTTTTCGTTTGAAAAATACTTAAGGTGGTGCCGTCCCACGCTGCAGACCCAGATTTAAAGAGCAATCTGGCCCAAGATTGCTGGGGTTTTTTCACCAACACAAGTCTGTAAATATGGGCAAACATTTTAATTACGGTATGTGCCGAGAATGCAGCCATGGCTTAAATCCCACTCCTCGTGCCATTAATTTCTTCAGACCCAGTGTGTGAATGTGTACAACAAAAGGACTGTGTTCAATTGCCAGCAGCCTTCCTCAGGCTGCACCTGTACCAACTGGGGGAACTGCTTTCACCCGAGAGCCGTGACCTGCTATGCTGAGAATTTGATACATCTGGAGATTGGGGAAAGATGGAGGTTGGTATGGTTTAGTCATTACTACACCCATGATGCAATTTCAAAGCATTCCCGTAGAAGGAATTAGAAGCAAGGCCAATCATCTGGTTTTCATGTGCATGGTGGAAAATGTACAAAAAAGTCCTCTAAAAGCTATTCGTACTTTACGCACAAATGTAAGATATTCTAAAACGCTAGCTTTTTTCAGGAAGCAGATTAAAAAGGTGGGTAATTAAATTACAGTACTACATGAAGTGTTATTTGGCGGTAAATCCATCAATGAATACATTTTAGAATTCCCTTGTCATCCGTTTTTGCTTCGGTGCCAATATAAATGTAAACTAATCAGACACAGGTGCATAATGGTACTCATACGTGAACTTCAAAGTCACAGTGGCAGGTGCAACTCTGAACCAGGTGTGGCACTGCAACAAAGTACTGGATGATTTACTGCAACACTCATTCAATAAACAGCATTGGTAAAGAAGCTCTCCTAACCGCTCATGGCCATTTACATCGTTGGAGAGTTGTATTTAAGTCAAGGAAATCCAAACAGCAGTTTTTAGATGTGTTGTTGCTGCCCTTGTATTACGTTCATAAAATAATTTGGTAGGACATAAAGACAAACTGTACAGTTGTCTGCCTTAAGGCTTTAACACAGGATATGAGACATCGTGTCTCTGGACCTTGCAGTGTACCTCAAGGGTGGGGTATGACATAGTTGTTGGGAGTATTTGGCCGAGATAACCTCAAACACCCACATTTAATACTTGTGCCATTATTGCAATGCGGAAAGACACACCTAAACTTTGAATCATGTTTTAAAAAGTACTCTGGAGTAAAATCATTAATGTCGACATCTTAGTCTGTGAAAAGTCTGCCTTTGTTTCATTGTCAGACGGGATATTGTTCTCACACAATAGGCCATTGTAGATTGTACAAAATCAGTATATTCGTGCCTGAGAGTAAACTTATGAGCATACACACACCAATGTAAAGCTATGTGGTAGGCAAACTTACGTGCCAAAGTGTGCGTCTTTGTGGGCTCTTAACTTTGTTTGCATTTGGGTGAGTGTGTCTCTTGATTATTCACCCAGCACACCATTACCTCATTCCTGCGCTGGTAGGAACGTTGGGTTGCTCGCTCAATGGCCTGCAGGGTCAACGGCGGCGTGGTGTATTCCGCAAATATGCCCGACTGTGAGGGCGGCACAAGCCGGCGTGAGTAGGTGAAACGTTGAGTTTTATAAGGGCACCACGGGGTGACCAGCCCCTCCCCACCCAGCCCCACCCCTCCCATTTCTGGATGCACGACGGACGGACGGACGGACACAATAATCCCCTGTGGGCTGGTGGAACCAGGAGGTTTCTAGCGTGACATTAATGCTGCGTCACTCCACCAAGTAACGAATGGAGGATCAACCGACACAGCCGAGGCGCTCCCCGTGTCTCTCCCTCTCCCCGTGGCGGCGTGGATTTACCTCCTGCCCCCCCCCCCCCCCGCGGTGCCCCCCTCCACTCGTTCAGAGTGAACAGCGGCACGCGGCGCTGAGCGCCTGTGACCCACAGACACCGACTCGCGGTGCCGCGTCCAGAGTGAACAGCGCCACGTGTTGACAAGCCTCGCCTCGTTGTTGTTGTTGTGGTGGTTGTTGTTGTTGTTGGTTGTTGTTGTTGTTGTGGTTGTTGTTGTTGTGGGCAGGGCGCTTCTGAGAACGAGAGCGGTACAGCAGCTCAAGCGGGCTTGGGCTGATAAAAACACGAAAAAAACTGCGTTAATATCTACAGTAACCAAAGTTACAGAGTAGCGAGCCGCGTGAAGACAAATTTATCTTGAGCGAGAGAATTAAACTTGAACGCCAGTCAGGCGAGGGCAGGAGGCAAGGCCCCGCGGGGCAAAGTTCCAATCTGGACATCGATTCCAACACTCGCTGCTACTCAGTTGACATCCCTGAGAGAGAGAAACAGCGAGGCTCTACCTTGGTACACAACAACAACCACAACAACCACAACCACAACAACAACACACCACAACGATGAGAAATTCTCACCTCAGATTTCAGTAAGCACGAAGCAGCAGCAGCAACGTCCTGTTACCTCG